ATTTTCCCCACAAACTCAATCATATTAAGGCTTCATACAACAAGATTTGACAATAAAATCAAATAAAATCAAATAAAATCACATAAAAACCACTAAAATCAAATAAAATCACATAAAAACCACTAAAATAATATAAAACCAGATAAAACACAAATCTTGTTATAGCAAAGCCTTATAAAATGGTAATATATTAGTGTCTTAAAGTAGAATTTATTCTGAATTCTTGTTAATGCTATGAAAATTTTGTCATAATGAGATCCAACTATCAAAAACAAGATTAAAACAAAACAACAATATTCAAACCAACCTATCCTTCACATGTTGAAAAGTGTTGTACAAGATGCTTCCTTCTGAAGTTAATCAAAATATTTAAAAGGTCCATTCATTTCAATTGGGAATCCCAAAATTTCATTATAATAAAATAAAATACACATTGCCATTAGTTACAGAAGACAATCTGAAAGTTTCAATTAAAACCTTCCAACAGAATATAAGCTGTGGATGAGAGATGGTGATGGACAAACAGACAAATCTTCTTTAACATCCCATTATATGCCCACCTCAAGTGAAGAAGGTCATGGGACTTGGATCCCCTGCTGGGTCAAACCAAAGAATTAAAAATTGGTATTTGATATTAGGTAAGGCGGAATGTCTTCCTGTGGACTGTTACATTGTGAACTAGCACATCAAAAAATCCAGCTCAGCGTGCTGGTCTAGTACAAAGCATTTATGCATTTAATTTGAGACTGGACGTTAAACAGCCATCTATCCATAAAAATCAAAGAAAAACTTATTTTACAGTTTCCTGATTAATCTTAGGAGGGGTAAATAATTCTTAAGAAGTTGAGTACAATCCTCAAAAAACAAACCTTATAATTATAATGTCCTTAAAATATATAAATAATGATGAATGACGAAAAACATAAAACTCAATCATATGAAAATGAAAAAATAAAACAAACTGCAAAAACTGTATAATTATTTTCACTTGAGTGGCCTCAGATGCTGAATAATGCATTTATAATATATAAACAAAACTAATAAATAAAACTGACAGCCATTAGTTTGTATAAATGTACAGAAAGTGGAGTCAAACCAAACCTAACATTTTTATTTGCAGTAACCAAGTTTATATTGCATCAAAAACTGCGTACTTAAATTGTTTAACAGGGGAATTTTTTTTATATACTCCCTATAGTGTTTGGCCATCCAAGTCCTACTTTATTGGTTTCTAACCGGCAAAATTCATTTCACAAAGAACTTGTAAGACTTACACGTACATAACTTAAAAAATATATGTAAACTGATGAGTCTTATGGGTATTTCGTGAAACCATATGGCATACTTTTGAGTCCCCTCAAATAACAATAATTTCACAGCTTTATTTTTCATCAATCACTATACAATAATGGAATGCAAGTAAAAATAAGGAAAAAAATATTTATAATCTGGATTTTAGATAAATTGATACAGCATTAAACACTAAATTTGTTAACAATTCATTCTTCTGCTTACAAGACTACTGTCTATAGATTCTACTAAAAATTATTGCAATAGTTCATCCAATGGTTTCAGGATTATTGCCTGAGGATTTTACCATACAAGGCAGCAACAGTAACAATTTCAACTGTAAAAGAAATAAAGTAAAGATTTAATTTTTAAATCTTAATATTAAAATAATCAGTATATGTTTGTTTTTTTTATAATTGTTGATTCCTCCAAAATATATAATATTAAAAATGAACAGCTTTTGTAAAAACGAAAATCTCAATACACCAAAGTAAATTTTTTGGACTTTACCACCACTTGACCTCAAATACCAGAACAATAATTTGAAATTAACAAATGCAGAAACTGCTGCTTAATTGATAAAACTCTACCATCCATATACAGGTACTCACATAATACAAACACAAAATTAATGTCTATTTTGTTGTATGGTTGTTTTATTGATGTTTACTCCCCACAAAAAAAATGTTCTCCATAAAATGTAGATATAAATTCTTTTGAAATTTGTATTGAAAATATGCGAGACTGAATGAAAGGCGGTTATTATAATACTTTTTTTATACCAGCACTGGTGTTACCGTAACATAATATCAGGTTATCTCCCCTTCATATCTCTTATTCAGGACCTGCTAATAGGGTATGACATTTATTAAATGACAAGTGAGACAATACATATTATTGAATACTGATTCACTTCTAAACTAAAGGTAAAACATTTCATATTGAAATCTTATTTAGGATTGATATACAATTAAACCTGCTTAAGAGACCACCTGTATTAAACAAAAACATGTGCTATAAGACCATTAACTTTATGTCCCTCTGTAATGTATTTGATATAGACTGAACCTGTATTAAGAGATTACCTGTCTTACAAGCCACTTCTTTGCTCTCACTGAATTTTTCTCTCAAAACAGAGTTCACTGTATAAATAGGGGCATTTGGTCCATAACATAACATAAATAAATCCAAGTTGTAAGTTGAGGATAAATTCTCACCTTAAAACAGCTCTAATTGCTATCCCAGCAAGTAACCCTATGGAAATGCTGTGATGCTAACCTGGAAAACAAAGATGGTCTGTTATTCTAAATTTTTCCAAAAAAAATCTCTATTATCATCGTAATAAATTTTTAAGTAGAACTTTGATAACAAATAAATGTCATGAAAAAAAAAATTGGTATTCTGAATCGCTCATTTAAAATTTGCTATAAAAATCAACGTGTTTCATCATAAATGTATAATTAAATTTTTGGTACTTTTATAAAATTGATGCCAAATACTATAAAAATTATTCCAAAAAAGCTTGAATACGTACCAATATGTTAACAGTGTTAGATATCCAAGTCTTACTCCCAACACCATGAAAACCTTGTCATTACAACCACCTTGAATAGAAACAAAAAAAGAAAATAAAGTTGTTTTACCAATCAATTATGCCTAAAAAGACTACAACGAAACAAAGAAACCAAATAAATACAGGAAATACAAAGGATCAAAGTTATGTTAAAAACAAAAATGTTTTGTAATGATGTAGATATCCTCAAAATCAAACACTTATAAAAAAGAACACTTAAGTCATAAGAGAAAAACTATTTTAAATGCCTATAATTATCATCATATTGTTACCATACATTTTGTGGGATACTGTAAACAGGAAAATTTTCGCGGTAAGAATTGAAACGCGAAAAATAAAACTACCTGAAAATTTCAAGGAAACTATTCATAAGATGAAAACCATACATGTACGTATATGAATAGGATATGTAGAGGACCACTGTATAACACAGATTTTACAGACAGATCGATACCTCAAATCATAACTGTATTTCTAAATGAAAAGCAATGTTAGAAATCATGACTTTAACTCAAGTTAATCTCATTAACATTGAACTTGAAGACATCTCAAGCAAGTGGACATTACAGATATTGTTATGTAAACAACTCGTTACAAATATGTAAATGACACCTGTCAATCAGTTATAAACGTATTACCTTGTTGAATCTGCTACACAGATTAATCAGATCAAAAGATTGATTAATTTGCATTAATCCTGACAGCATTTTATTTTAATTCACTCATTATTTAGGTCTTCTTTTCTGTTATTGTGTATGTGTTTTTACAAGCAAACATGACTACTTTTAATCTCTTAACATTAATGAACCGAAAACAAAAAGATTTCTGATTGATTTTATCACTTGATTTACTATACATGTAAAGCTGTTTACTTTCTATATCCTTTGTGAAAATATTTATATTGGCCACAGGGAAATCACAAATTCAAAATGGCGCGAATTTAGATTGTGTTCATAAATGCAGATTTAGGACCCGGTTTACAGTATTTAGACTTACCACATATTTTCTTGCTAAAGCCTCAGACTTGGTTGAAGATTTAATTGACCATCTTCCATGGAGCTGCTCTCCTGGCTGCCAACTTGAAGGTGGCTGTCCTCATTATCTTATTGTCAATCTATCTTTTTTTCCATTTGTATTTACAAAAATAAAAGTTATACATATCAAAAATGTCAGATGCACTTTCAAACAATCCCCTTTTTGGAAAATTTTACCAAATCACTTTAGTGACCTATAATTTCATCCACCCTATGCATCTATTATCTTGAGCTTTGCTTACATTTTTTTTTTATTTACAGAGCTCTAAATAATAGTTAATTTTATCTAGTAAACATCTGATATTTAAAAAAAACAAACTTTTACAAATATGAATATTTAAGTAAATAAAAATTCATATTCCCTATCATTGAGGGAATTTCAAGCAGGGGTATTACCTCCCTTTTCTTTAAATTTCACCCTGTTGGGACTCCACATTCTTGCTATATTTAACAAAAATACAAAATATAGTATCACTAAAATTAGAAATTTAATAAAAATCCAAACACATTTCAAAACATTTAGTATTTTAATTTTCACTTTGCGTTCAACTCCAATCTTAATTGACTAGGATTTCCTGTTTTTCTTTCCTGTTTTCTTTATGCACTCTGGCTTCCTTCACTTATAAAAACTGGCAACCAATCATGATAAAAGTGGAGTTAAACACTAAGATCAATCTATTTTCATCAAGATGTTCTTCAACTATGCTACTCGTAAGATATTCTTAAAAGTTGTTAGCAATTAAGCTAAAAATCAAAAAAAGTTGGAACAGACATATATCTAACAATTCTGGAAACCAAAAACTACATTTCAATAAAATGACATTTGTTTCTTTTTCTTTTTTTTTTTCTTTTTTCTTTTTTTTTTTTTTTTAGATTCTCCATTCTGAACCTACTGGAAGTGTTTTGACTAGACATGGACCATTATTAATATTTCTTAAGTAGGTCTTCAAGCAAAATTAGTCCGTTTCACTTCATTTAAAAAAAAAAGAATAAAAAATAATATGTCATGGCAATAATTGACATGAGAAGAGCTACCAAAATATTGCCATAGGGCTTCAATGGAAAAAAGAAAATGAAATTATGAATTTCTAATACAAGTTAACCTACAACTTCCAATCTTGTTGAAAATGGAGAATCTTTACACAAATTTTTTTATTTTTTTTTATTTTTTGTAAAAAATTATAAAAAAAATTTCAAGCATACACAAAAATTGTCTAAATTACATTCTTCACTGTTACATTGATATCACACAGTCATTTTATGCAGCCACAGTAAAAGTTACCTGAAAAAGAAATAGACATTCTGAAGCATATCTGTCAAACTATATGAAAATTGAAACATTATTCTGGCAAAGGAATCATTAACTGGGCATTACAATAATGATGCATACATTTCTTTCATTAGTTTTTAAGTGATTTGTTACCATAAATTTAAACTACCAAAAAACAAAAAAGTATGGTCGATGTCCGACATATTTGTTTTTCGTTCATTGTTTTATCATATATCAGGCAGGTGGAGATCTTGTTTGAATTGTTTCACATTTTGTCATATTGGGGCCTTTTATAGCTTACTAAGCAGTCTAGATTTTACTCATTGTTAAAAGCTGTAATGTGACCTTTAGCTGTGTACATCCACATCATTTGGTCTCATTTGCAATTATACCACATCTCTTAATTTTTATATATGGGACTATTTAAGATAACAAAAAACATAATATTTTCCTAAATTATAGTTTTTTACTTCTTTATTTACCTTCTTCCAGATTATATATACAATTATAACTTAAGAAACATTAAAATGTAAGATATACATTTGTGCATAATAAAAATCTATCGCATTTATATGCTCTTGGATGAATATATATGGCATAAATCTATGTATTGTTTCTTACCATAAATTTCAGCTCCAATGACCATTCCCAGCCTCAATCCTTACAGACAAGCTGTGAAGCTAACCTGAAATATAAAATGCTTAGTTTTCAAAATTGTTTAAAAGGATCACTGGTGGTATATTGTGTTGGTATACTGTATCTATATTATACATAAATGGGTTATATTTATATGTTACAGATGTTGAGAACATATCAATTAGACAGCAATCCAACAACCAAACAAACTTTACATAATCAGTTCAGATGGGCACAGGACGTTTGCGCTTTTTTACCTGTAACACGATAGGACATTTGCACTTTAAATTTTGATACACCTGTATTAAATTGACCTGACTTTTGCGCTTTTTACCTATAGACGTCTACCTGTGATTTAATGAATTGTAATAATTACGTAAATAAATTCAACTTATATATGTGCTTAGATACTTCACATTGACATAGTCTTGAACATAGAGTTTAAAAGTTATAGACAAGTAAAGGAAATTTTTGATTTATGTCACGTTGGATTTTTATCATTGAATAACAGTCGGTTAATTACAATAAAATTTGTGATATTGATGAACAGGGACCTCATTTAAATAGTTGAGAAAGAGAAACTAGAATATTTATTTGAAATGTTGGCAAAATACCAGGAGGACAGATTACAAGAGCTAAATTTGTTCATTCCCTGAGCTTCAGATACCAAGCGAAAAATGACTTGTGATGACTATACACGTCTTTATGTCTTTAGAATGTTAACTTTTAGCTATAGATAACAATATTAATGTGTTATAAAATAACTTTTAAACACGATTGTGCTATGAATTAATGACTATCAAACTTTTAACAATAATGACAATTATGACTTAACTTTGCCAGGTCAAACCTACCGGTCCAAAGCCTGGATTAAATAGGATGGAATTCATAAGAAGCAAATATTGTAAAAGCGCAAATGTCCTATGTAAAAAGCGCAAACGACCTTTTTAAATAAGCGCAAATGTCCTAAAAATTGAAGCACAAATGTCCATTTAAAAAAGCGCATATGTCCATTTAAAAAAGCGCAAATGTCCTATGAAAAAGTGCAAACGTCCCGCGCCGGTTCAGATCCTTATTAAATCTTCTCATATAATACAAATAAACAAAAATAGTAGATTTCTGACCAAACTCGTATAAACTTTCAAGCCTAGAGCAAATAATATTAAAATTTTTCTATTATTAACCAATGACTTAAAATACATTATAAATTGTCCAGTTAATACAATTCCATGTGTCTTAGAACTGGTCGTTGATACAGGTCTGATACAGAAAAACCAGTTCATACAGAATTTTTACTGGTCTTAACACAGGATAATAACTTACGGTTTTTGGTTCAAAAAGGTGTCAGAAAATGGATGTGTGTATTACTTGAAATATTAGATTTCAACAAATTTGATGTTAAAGTTGTTATTAATCATATGATATAAATTTTTCTTTAAGCACCGGTATATATAAATTAAAGACCGTTGAAAGGGTGAATTGCCAGAATTGTCAACCGTAAAAGACTATTTCTCTGCGGGTGCAGTAGGGTTGACAATCTTGGATATGCATGGCTTGGAAGGGGCAACATTTGTTTAATTATACCAAACTAACAATAGATGGGCCTTTCATGAACTATTTAAAGTGCATGTTTAAGAAGCTCTTCTACGCGTATTAATATTTTGACCACCTTAATGGGGTTAACCCAGTATACTGTAGTACCGTAACAAAATGTCAAAACACTAATCAGAGAATTATTTTGTGTCTTAAAATGCCTCATATATACAACAAAAAAGAACTCTTTCTGTAAAATAATGATGGCCCTGAAAAGGGTCGTTTGTGAATGCTATCCTCGGCACTAGATGGATTTCACATACTTTTTTCTTCATCTCACCACGTACTTCTAACCTAGCCATTTCCATTTTGTTTACAAACGTCAATGACATCATTTTGATGGGAGATAGCTTGCAACATGTGTTAAAATCAAGAGGCTCAGAGTTATTTACTGATGAATGTGTATAAATTTTTAGGGCTATTCAACTCTCCTTGCATTTAAATGAAAAACCCAATTAGTTTATATTGTTCATGTAGGAGTTTTTCTACCGTGGAATTTGTCCTCGATCAGCTTCTGGTTGATATTCCAAGTCATTGGTTAATAAGGTGTCATAAAATGGGTGTTTTCATATTAATCCTGTATTATGTCCTTGTACAGTCGTTTTGGGTCTCATCAGCTGTATTGGCCCTCAGCTACACCTCGAGCCAATACAGCTAACCTCAACCCAATACGACTACTTGAACATAATATAGGATTAATATGAAAACAACCGTTCAATAACACTATATTATACATTTGTTACTTTTTTTAACATGGAATAACATACTGGTACTGGTACCTACCTACATATTAGCTGTATTAGACCACCAAGTCTTATTCCCACACCATGAAAACATGTCACAGAAAGAACCTAAAATGAAATAAAAATTGACACATTACATAATTTTACAAATCAATTCTGTCAACCTAAAATTTACTTAATACTTTTCTGATTTCTAACTTCATTTACACAATAATATAGCATCAACATCAGTTTGTAAAATTAATTTTAAAGATGGAAAAACAAAGTCAATATGCTCATTTTTAGCAAATATTTCTCGAGAATGTATAGAAATTGTTTGGCTCAAATAAACTTGCCTTCTTATTTTCTAGGTAGAGCCTCAGACTTGGCTGAAGATTTACTTAACCATCTTCCATGGAGCTGCTCTCCTGGCTGGCAAGGTGGCTTTCCTCATATTATGGTCAATCTATTTTTTTCTGCATTTCTTTTTAAACATAAAGTTATATATATAAAAAATATCAGATGCACTTTCAACTAATAACCTTTTTCAAAAATTTCACCAAATCATTTTTTATGACCCATGAGTTTCCCCACCCTACATATCTATTATATAGAGCTCTGTTTACATCTTTTTTTTTATTACAGAGCTCTAAATAATAGTCAATATTAGGTATGATACATCTGATATTGAAAAAAGTTGTACAAAAGTGAATATTCAAGAAAATATTAAAAAGCTAACACTGAGGGAATTTCAAGTATGTGGAGTTTAACAGGGGTTATAATAAATTACCTCCCTTTGATCTAAATTTCACCATGTTAGGACTCCACATCCTTGCTGTAATACCAAAAATCCAACAATATTCAAAAAAATATTTAGTACATTTTTTACTAAAATTTCACCTAGGACCTTGGTGGCAGAGTGGTCCAAGTAGTTCTACTCAATCACTAGCCTGTCAACATTGAGGTTGTGAATTCAAACCCTGCATGTTGTATGGGCATTTAATCAATCTTAATTGACCAAGATTGCATGTTTTCTTGCCAAAAGTCTGTGGTTCTCTCAAGGCACTCCAATTTCAGCCATTAATAACTGGCTGCCAAGATATAGCCAATCATGCTAAAAGTGGTGTTAAACACCAAAAATCAATCATCAATCTATTTTTAACAACTTAGTTTAATTCAGATGAAAATAACAAAAAGGTTAAAAAAATATATATCTAACAATTCGGAAACCCAAAAATTACATTGCAATAAAATAACGTTTTTTTTTTTTTTTCTTTTTAGATTCTCTATTCTTAACCTACTGAAGTTATTTGACTCATGGACCATTATTCATATACTGATATCTAAAGTAGATCTTCAAGTAAAATTGGTCCATTTCACTTCATTTTCAAAGTAAGAATTTAATCTTGACAGATGGGGGAAAAAAATGAATACGATATGAACTTTAATTTCATTATTTCAAAACTACATACCAAAAACTAGTTCAGTATCCATATTTATATAAGCTTATAAGCATAACAAAAAAAAAAATGTCAAGACAATAATGGAGTGATAAATGGACATGTGTAGAAATACCAGAATACAGCCATGGGTTTAAATGAAAAAAAGAATGAGAAATTTTGAAATTTCAAATACAAGTTAAGCTAGAACTTCCAATACTGTTGAAAATGGAGAACCTTTACACATTTTTTTTTGTAAAAAAATATAAACATTTCCTCAAACATACACAAAAATTGTGTGAATTACATTCTTTGCAGTTATACCACACAAACATTTTATGCAGCCACAGAAAAAAGTCCCCTGAAAAAGAAATAGTCGTTCTTAAATATATTTGTTAAAAAATTGAAACAATATTCAATGCAAAAAAATAATTAACCGGGGATCATAATGATGATGCATATAACATTTCTTTTACTTTGTTTAAAAGTGTTGGCATCAATTTAAAACTACCATTCTTTATCAGAAAAAAAGTATGAAAAACTAGTTTTTTTTATGCTTGACATATTTGTTTTTCATTTGATTTATCATATATCAGGCAGTTGGTTTTCTTGTTTGAATTGTTTCACATTTTGTCAATGTTAGGGCTTTTTATACCTTACTCTATACAGTATACTTTTTGCTCATTGATGAAGGCAGTACAGTGACCTTAGTTGTTTACATCCACATCATTTGGTCTCTGGTTGATAGTTGTCTCATTGGCAATCATACCACATCACCTTATTTTTATATATGGTAATAATTTTAGAAAACCAAAAAGACAGTGGTGACAAGATTTCCTCATTACAATTTTTGACTTCCCTAATTTATCTTGATTCCTCCTTTGAGATTATATATACAATTATAAACATTAAAATGTATGATCAACATCTGTGCATAATAAAAATCTATGGTATTTATATACTCTTGGATGACTAGTTCATTAATCTCTCTATTAGTTCTTACCATAAAAGTCAGCTCCAATGGCCATTCTCAGCCTCAATCCTTACGGACAAGCTGTGATGTTAACCTGCAATATAAAACGTTTAGTCATTAAAAATTGTTTAAAAGGATCATTGTTGGTAAAAGGTATGTATATTAAATAGAAATAGTCTATAAACTTGCAATAGATTTTGGGAACCTATGGATTAGATTGCTATCCAGCAACCCAGCAAACTTTTACATAATTTATCAGATTAAATTTACTCATATAATGGTACTGATAAATGAAAGAGTAGACTTCTGACCAATTTCTTATAAGACTTCAAGCCTGAGAGCCAATTTCCAAAGAAATTTTATAATACATTTTTTTTTAAACAGGAATGACATACTGGTACCTACCTACATGTTAGCTGTATAAGACCACCAAGTCTTATTCCCACACCATGAAAAAATGTGACAGAAATAACCTAAAAAGAAATTAAAATTGACATTACATATTTTACAAATCCATTTTTCTGGCAACAATTGAACCTAACATTTTCTATATATTGTACACAGTAGTATAACCTTCACACCAGTTTGTAAAATGAATATAAAAGATGGAAAACAAAAAATAAGTCAAAGTTTTATGATTTGAATTTCAACTGCACAAAAATCATCTGCATTTTACAGAGTTATCTCCCATTGAATAAACAAATGTTGCTGTTAAATGTACTAGTATCCCCTTGAAATTTAATTCCTATTTCTGGACTTACTTTTGCTTTCTTGTTCATGTACTTGGCAACTTTAAATATTAAACTGATAAAATAATTTTGTCAATGGTGTTGTCTTACTATTCACTTTTTATGAAATATTTCTACAGAATGTATACAAATTGGTTGGCTTAATTAAACTTGCCTTATTTTTTTCGTGGTAAAGCCTCAGACTTTGTTGAAGATTCAATTGACCATCTTCCTTGGAGCTGCTATCCTGGCTACTTTGAAATGTTTTTCATCATAGATTTGTATGCTAATCAGTTCACTGAATCCATTTATCCAATTAATGAAATGTTCTTTTCATTGTATCCAATTAATGAAATGTTCTTTCCATTGTATCCAATCAAATATACAATTTTCACAGGATTGTTCCAAAGCATCTCACAACATATTCTTTTTCTATTCATGGCTACTGGAGTAATTCTCGATGTAAAATACAAGTAATTTATAAAATTAATACATAAAAAACTGAAAAAATAATGGATGTGCTTTTAAACAGGTAACTTGTATTTTGAAAATTTACCAAATGTTTTTGGTACCCCACAATTTCTTCTTCCCATTAAAAGTATTATTTAGAACTATGTTTATATTTTTTTTTATTTACAGAGCTCTAAATAATAGCTTTTATATTAGTTAGCAGACATCTGATATGTAAATACTTAAACAAATGTATTAAAAAAGGACAGTACAATGAAAAAAATGTAATAAAAAATTACAGTATAGTGATTGACTAACACCATTTTTTTAAATATTTTGAAGCATAGTTTAATAGAATACCTTCTTTTAAGGTTTACTCATCATGCACATAGTAGTCATGTATATTCGAAAAAATGATCAAAGCCTCAAATAGCTGAGTTGTGCAAATTTTTCCTAAACAATAGAGAATGGTCTTTAATGAAATTTAAATATATGGAAATATAAAATGTAAAAAAGGGGGCTGATGCTCAACCTCAATCAATTTGCAAATTCTCTGAAGTTCCAAAGATATGGGTAAAAAACAAAAATTGGTACCATCATTTTAGTTGAAAAAGAGTTTCCAAGAAAAATGGGGAAAAAATTATCGAAAAATTCCATAGTACCTAGTGCACAACTTAAATATTCGTGCAATCATTGTGTGAAGTTTCAAAGATCTAGATTTAAAACTGCAGGAGTTGATTACAAAAAATTGTGGACATCTTTGTGAATTTTGGTAAAAATTTTCACAAATTTTGGAAAAATAGCAATTCCATACTAGCAGGTACACAATTTCAACATGTGTGCAATCTTTCTGTGAAGTTTGGTGGTACAAAAAACACTGAAATAAAAACATACAAAAATGATGCAAAATGGTACTACCAGTATGTAGTATGAAATCTTTAAATTTAGTAAGAAAAATTGTAAATCCAAAGAAATGATAAAAATACTGATTCTTTATAATAAAAAATAGTTGTCAAAATTCAAATAACATGTGATACTTTAATAATTTTGTTTTTGAAACTATAATACTTGAAGAAAAATAGTTCCAAAATTTCCAATTCAAAAAGTAATGTTTTTTTCCCAAATTAAGTTTGATAGCATATTGGTTTGTGGTATCAAAATTTGTTTTTCATAAGACTGTTTCAAATGATTTCTTTTGGAAAAGAAAGAAAATCACTGATATCTTGACATTAATAGAGATGGACTGACATGTCGAACTCTCGGTAACCACTGGTTCCTTTACTGGATAACAGTCAAAAGAAAACCAGCTGCAGTCAATATACAGACTTACAGGAAACAGCTCTTTTTGGCTATTGGGAGAGGAAACAAAACCAAAGTAAAAACTAAAATAGGTTTTCTTTAACATCATTAAATGATAAAAAAGCTATTATTGAAACCCCCATAGTCTGGAACAAGGTCCGATTTTAATTTAAACTGCTTGGTTAATACAATTGATTGTATGCAATTCTTGAAAATTGTTGGGAGTCTTGGATAGGATCCCT